ATGATAATACTGATTATTTTCATTATTACTATTATCATCATCACCATTATCATTATCATCATCATTACCATTATCATCATCATCATTATTATCATTATCATTTTATATCATTACTATAATACTATTATTATTATTATTATTACTGTTGTTATATCATTATCATCATCAACATTATCATTATCATCATCATTACCATCATCATCTGATATCATCACCATCATCATTATCATCATCATCATCAATTTATATAATTACTACGATAATACTGATTATTTTCATTATTACTATTGTTATATCATTATCATTATCATCATCATTATCATCATCACCATCATCATTATTATCATTACTATTATCATTATCATCATAGATAATTTTTATTATCATTATTATTACTATTGTTATCACCCTTTCCAAGAGTATAGTATTACTGCCATTATCATCACATCATCATCATCATTATCATTATTATCATCATTATTATAATCATTATCATTATTATTATTGTAAAATAATAATAATGACAACTACAACAACAGCAACAATAATAATAATAATAATAATAATTTTTATTATTATTATTATTATTATTTTTATTGTTATTATTATTATTATTATTACTATTGTTATTAATACCCGTATTATTGTCACGATCATTGTTGTTGTCATTATTATTATAATGATTATTATAATTATTATATTATCATTATCTTAACTATTACTTTCACTTTCTTCATTGATATCAACATCATCGTTATCATTGCTACTATTATCATTATCATTATTATTATTATCATTATCATTATTATAACTATTATTATTGTTGTTATTATTATTATTATTATTATTATTATTATTATTATTATTATTATTATTATTATTATTATTATTATTATTATTATTATTATTATTACTTTTGTTGTTTTCATCATTATCATCATAATTTTTATTAGCATTATTATTATTGTTATAATTGTTACTACTATTATGATAGCTATTATTATTACTATTACTTTTCATTATCAAAGTTATCATTACTATTGTTATTATCATTACCATTATTATTATCATCATCATTATTATTGTTGTTGTAGTTGTAGTTGTTTTTGCATTATCATCATTATCTTATCATTGATGTAATCTCCATTTTAATAAATTATAATAACAATTGTATAAACAATAATGTTACTAATTATGTTAATGAGGATAATAATAATGTTGATAATAATATTAATGATAATGATTTCATCATTACCTATATTATTAGTAACATCATCATCATCATTCTTATTCCTATTCTTATTATTGTCACTATTGTTATCATTATTACCATTATCATTATCATAATTATTATTATTATTATTATTATTATTATTATTATTATTTTTTATTGCTATTATTATTATTATCTTTTATTGTTATTATCATTATTATTATTATTATTATCACAACTTTAATTATCATTTATTATTGTCATAATTGTTATCATTGTTATCATTACCATTACTATTATCGTTATCATGATTATAATAATTATCATTATTATTATTACTATCATTACTTTATAATAATAATAATTGTAATTATCATTATTATTAAGAATTCTTATCACTATTATTATGATTTATATTATAACTATTTCGTTACTATTAGTAGTAGAAGTAGTAGTTGTGTCATTATTATTACTATTAGTATTATCATTATTATGATTATTATCATCATCATCATCCTTATTATCATCATTATCTTACATTGGTTAGATTATTATCATTATCAGTATTATTATTATTTATCATCATAACCATAATTATTATTATCATTATTATCATTAATGTCATAATTATTATCAAATTTATAATTTCATTCATTGTTATTATGATTATTATCATTATTTTTATCAATGTCATTATAATGATTATTGATATTATCATTTTATTAACTATTATTATGATTATTATTATCATTGTTATTGTTATTATTAGCATCATTATTATAATCTTTTTATCATCATCATCAGCATTATCATCATCACCATTATAATTATTATTATTATTATTATTATTATTATTATTATATCACCATCACCATTACTATTATCATCATTGTTATTATTATTATCTTTATTACTGTTATTATTATTACTATTATTATCATTACTGTTAGTGATATCATATTTGTTATTGTCATGATTTTTGTTATAACTATAATCATTATTATTGTTACTGTTATCATTATTATGATCATCATTAACATTATTATTATTATTTCCATTATCATTACTACTGCTGCTGCTACTATTACTATGAATATCATTATTGTTGTTATTATTATTATTATTATTATCATGGTTATTTTTATTATCATTGTTATTTTTTTGTTTTTGATATTGCTATTATTATTGTTATCATTGTCATTATTACTAATGCTATCATCATTATCATCTTCGTCAATACTGTACTATTATTTTTTTTTATCAGTGGCTATAAAAATTATAACATGTTTATGATGTTTATTGTGGTTCGAGTCGAATGAATTAATGCATATAAAAGAGAGATTGCAAGAATGGGAATTAAATATAGGTACATGATTTGTGTAAAGTGGTATAGAATGTCACTTATAAGATACTGACATAGATATAATACGAATGAAGTAGGCTTACAGACAAAACCGTTGGTATGATCAGTTTAATGATGTTTGATATGATTGAATATTTAGGTCTCTTTCCACTCAGTCTTAAAATTCTACCAGCACTGTATGTTGATGCTGTAGAGAGGACTGCTTTTAATCTTCATCATTCTGAGTGTTGGAAAACCCGAAACTTTCGCGTGATCCTTGTTCCTGTACCCAGTGAACTCCAGAACCGGTCCTGTGTCTAATTCATGCTTTTGCTTCAGCCGAAAGGATATTCTGCAATAGGCGGCGTGTAATCGATTGGTTGATTGATTGATTGATTTTTTTTTAGGATTTATTGTTTATTTTCTATGTGTTCTTCCATATAGTCTGTAGAGTTATGCTGAAATGTAACTGGCGGACTGTGATGGAAAATTTATAGGTAGGTTGCCAAAACGCAAGGGAATAGTTGGTTAGGATGGTGAACTGGATCTAAGTACGACTGGTGAATTTAAAATCACTTTGGCGTGGTATAGAAAATGGGTCTTGGAAAATTTGTCTCCTTTTAAAATATTGTACATAAGATACTTTCTCATTTTACTTATCCCCATTCTCTACGTGTACGCTTAGGCAACTGTGTACGCCACGTGTAAATATCGCAATTTTCACCTCCCTCTAAAATGATACACTCCCTAATGTCGAAAAGAGTAGGAAAATAACCGCCACTGACGTCACAGTTTCCCCAGAAGGATGACATCAGCTGGGACAGTCCGATTGTTAGGTAGCAGAAACCCGCAATTACCCTCATCCTCTTCTCTCGCTCACCTGTCCAGGGATCTGCTTGTTTTCATCTATAGGGATTTTTTTTTTTTTTTTTTTTTTTTTTGATCTGCTTGTTTTCATCTATAGGGATTTTTTTTTTTCGTTTTTGTTTTTGATCTTGTTTTCATCTATAGGGATTTTTTTCTTCCTCTTTGTTTTATCTTGTTTTCATCTATAGGGATTTTTTTCTTCTTTTTTGTTTTTTGATCTGCTTGTTTTCATCTATAGGGATTTTTTTTCTTTCCTTTTTTGACCTTGTTTTGTTATATGTATTTTTGTCGTCGTTCTCTTTCGGGAATGGGCTTGCGAGTGTTTTATGAGGGTTAGTGTATTTCGAGCTTGACCTGTATATATGTTGGGGAAGAAAAGGGGGAATATCTCTTGCTTTGTTGGAGGTGGTGTACGGATGGTGTGTGTATAAGAGAGTGAGAGACAGACAGACACATACACAGACAAACGGAGACATCGGAAGAAAAGGAAGAGAGAGAGAGAGAGAAAGAGAGGCAGATAGGCAAACAGACTGAGACAGAAGCAGACAGACGGACAGACAGACAAGACAGACAGACAGACAGACAGACAGAGGCAGAGACAGAGAGAGAAAAGACATAGAGAAGAGAAAGACAGAGACAAAGACGTTCCCCAAAGTATAGCCTCAGATTTTTATCCTAGCCTGCGTATGTGTCTGCACGTCAATCTTCGTAAAAAAAAACATACTACAACAATACACTTACACAATGAGTTAATTCTACAGTATAAATGACTCTACACAACAAAGTCAACATTCGCATACATCATAAGCTTGAAACACGTCCACGCAATTATGTCAACCTAAAAAAAAAAAAAAAAAAAAAAAAAAAAAAAAAAAAAAAAAAAAACAATAGCATACATGATGCAGGTACACTGCGTCACGCTCGTTTAGACTGAAAATGACAATACTTTTGCTTCTTGCGGTGACAAAAAAGTCAAAGTATTTTCCTATAATATTCGCGAGCACTTTGTCCACTTTGCTGCATCATGTATCCTGTTACAGTATCCTTGTTTTTTCTTATTGTGATCTATTTATTTCCCTTTTTTCTTCCTTTGTTCATTATTCAATTATCTTGTTATTCCAGATTTTATTTATGTATATATTGTTTATGTATACTTTCTGTTAAATATGTTAGTTACCCCTTGATGCTCAGAACACTACGTTTTCTGTGTTTACCCTCAGTTCCTTTGTTTTTATTTCTTCGTTAAAGAATATCTATATTTTTGTTGAGTAGAATACATATTTTTCTGAATTTGAATTAGAGAAATACTATATTTTGAATGTAGTTTTATATCAGAGAAAAAGTGCTTATTTTCCACATATATTTTTATGTATGAATACTCGTAGCAATAAAGGCCACTACGTGGCACTGCCAGGTCAGCACTGTTTCAGTCAACAACCCCCAGCCCTTTGATCCTGCTTCTACATCATGTTTTGTTACCAAGTGTGGGTCTCGTGAGGCCGTTTCCCACATTTTTGGTGCCCAGACCCGGGAAGCTTTAGATATAGAGTCGTCGCCCGGACAAGTAAGGTAACAAACATGGCAGAGTCACTTGAAGCATTGAAGAGGAAAAGGGCTGCATCAAGAGGTTGGTTGACAAGAGCTGTACAGAACCTCCAGGAGGTTTTAAATGATAACAACAGTAATTATGAGAAGTTAGATCAAGTTGCTGCTGAATTTGATAAGAGGCTAATATTGTTGGATGAGGCGCAGACAGCTGTTGAAGTAGAACTTGTTAATCCTGATGATTTAGATGCAGACCTTGATGAAGCAAGTAATTTTCGCAAAGCTGCAACAAATGTTAGATTTGAGGTCACCATGCGAATGAAGAGAGCTAATGATGGCAGTGACAGTGACAAAGGCTCTGTCTCCAGTATGAGCACCTCAGATGCAAAGCTGCCAAAGCTAGAGCTTCCCAAATATGATGGTGATCTGACCCAATGGCAGTCATTTTGGGATAGATTTACAGCCTCAATAGACAGGACTGACATACCTGTTATTACTAAGTTCACTTATTTACAATCAGTGTTACAAGGAAAAGCATTGTCTGCCATCCGAGGAGTAACACTCACTGTTCCAAATTACAAGGTTGCATGTGATATATTGAAGAATAGATTTGGCCGACCTCAAATAATCATAAATGCACATATTCATGCACTAATGAATATCTCTGTAGCTCCTAAAATAAGAGGAGCAAATTATGTTGAATCGCTGTGTGAATCTTCTAGACCAGCTCCATTGGCATGTAAGAAGTTTGGAGAGCTTTGGCATTAATAATAAACAATTTGGCGTGGTGTTAACTCCATTGGTCTTGGGTCGTCTGCCTCAAGAGATAAGATTGGAATGGTCAAGGGAATCTACAAATCATGAAAGTGACCTGGAATGGCTGCTGACGTTCCTGCAGAAGGAGATAAGCCGTCGAGAGAGATCTGAAACTTTCCCGGATGTTGGGACGGGGAAGCCAGAACGATGATTTGTGGACTCGGAGAAAAGGAGTGCCATCTGCATCGGCTCTTCACACCTCATCTGAAGTAGGATTTTCTTATTGTGCTTTCTGCAGCAAGAAACACAAGTCTGAGAAGTGCTGGGATATCCTGAAGCTCACTTTGAAGGAACGTGAAGAAAAAATCAAAGCTGCCCATTTGTGTTTCAAGTGTTTGAGTAAGGGGCATATTTCCAGTGGTTGTCAAAGCAAGTGTTCTAAGTGTAATGGCAATCATAATTTTCTTCTGTGTTGATCAAAGGGTGCAGGAAGCACAGAAAAGGCTATGGAAAAAAGTGTGAGTGATCAGAAGGTTAGTGATATTGTAGAACCTTCTGAAAATTGCAGTCCCCAAGTGAATCATGTTGGTGTGACTTAGCAAGTGTAATGTGTTGACGAAGACTAGTTGTGTGCTACAGACAGCTAGAGTTAAAGTGTTTGGCGAGTCAGGTGCTTGTTGTGAAGCCACCTTGTTGTTTGATACAGGCTCTGATAGATCTTATGTGTCCAGTAATCTTGTGAAGAAAGTTAAGCCCAAGTGGGTGAGCTCAGAACCTGTGTCATATGCTGCTTTTGGAGGTAGTAAGTCTCCTCCAGGTAAACAGAGTAATATTTTTGACTTGCAATTAGTAGGTTTACATGGTGCAAAACATTTAATGGCTTTAGAGATTCCAAAGGTTTGTGCACCATTGACTAGACCCTGTATTCCTAGTAATTTGGTTGATGCATTTTCTGATTTTCAACTTGCTGATGATTACAAGAATAATAGTCACCTGAATATAGATATACTTGTAGGTTTGGATGCTTATTGGGGATTTATGGATCCTGAAATTAAGCCACATCAGAGTAATGGATTAGTAGCCCAAAAGCCTGTATTTGGTTGGGTGTTATCTGGTTCATGGAAGGTTCCTACTAACAAGAACTATGAGTCTACACAAATGTTGTGTATAGGAAATGTGACAGATTCTGATTTGCGTGAGTTTTGGGATTTAGAATCTGTTGGCATAAGTCAAAAGGAAGCTGTTCCTAGCCCATTTACCTCAGACCCTGTTTTGAAGCAATTTTGTGAAAATGTTAAGTTTGATGAGGGACGCTATGAAGTAGGCTTACCTTGGAAGTCGGATGACTGCAAGAAGAATCTTATGAATAATGAGGGAATTGCTAGGAAAAGGTTGCAAGGATTAGAGCGTAAGTTAGATAAGGACCCAGAGCTTCAGAAACAATATTCTAACGTGTTTACTGATTATGAACAAGAGGGAATAATTGAAGAAGTCCCTTCAAGTGAAGTTGTAAGTTCTCAGCCTACATATTATATGCCTCATCGTCCAGTTGTCAAAGAGAGTAGTTCTTCAACTAAGGTCAGACCAGTTTTTGATGCTTCTGCAACTAGTTATAATGGCACTTCTTTAAATGATTGTCTTGAGTCTGGTCCTTCACTTAACGCTGATCTTGTGAAAGTATTGGTTCGTTTCAGAAAGTGGAAGGTTGCATTGACTGCTGATATTACAAAGGCATTCTTGCAGATTTGTGTTCGGCCAGAAGACCGAGATGTTCATCGCTTTTTGTGGGAATGCAAAGACTCCATTAGAATGCTGAGGTTTGTTCGTGTTCCCTTTGGTAACACAAGTAGTCCATTTTTGCTAAATGCAACCATTAAATACCACTTACAGTCTTATCCTGATACTGAAGTAGTAATAGAGTTAAAGGATAACCTTTACGTAGATGATTGGCTGTCAGGGGCGGACACTGCTGAGGAAGCTTGTGAGAAGTTTAAAGAAGCTCAAAGTATTTTGGCTGAAGCTGGGTTCCCTCTTTCTAAATGGCACTCAAATTGTAAATTGTTTGCCACAAAGTTTAATGATAAAATTGATCATGGTGATGAACATGAATCCACAAAGGTTTTAGGTATGAAGTGGTTATCCTTGTCAGATCAGTTTGTTTTTAAAGGTATTGATTTAGACCTGGAGACACATTTGGTGTCAACCAAAAGAGCAATTCTTAGTCTCATAGCCAGGCTTTTTGACCCACTTGGTTTGATTAGTCCCTTTGTCATGTATGCTAAAATCCTCTTTCAAGACATATGGAGACTTGGGCTTGATTGGGATGAGTTACTTCCTAAAGAGGTGCAAAATAAGTTTCAGAATTGGGTTAAGAGCATTGCTGCTCTAAAATATTGGAAGATTAATCGTTGCTATTTCCCAGAAATGTCCTGGAAAGAGTTGTCTGGTGTAGAACTCCATGCCTTTGGTGATGCTTCAGAGAAAGGGTATGGAGCTTGCGTGTACTTGAGAGTTCCTCTTGTGGATGGAACATACCAGGTGTCATTAGTGGTAGCAAGGTCAAGGGTAGCACCTATAAAGAGGGTCACTTTACCTCGACTAGAATTGCTTGGTGCTTTACTTTGTGCTAGACTCTTAGATTTTGTGAAGTCTGCCCTCTGTCTCGATAAGACTGTGACTTATTGTTGTTGGACAGACTCAAAGGTTGCTCTTGCATGGATAAAGGGTAATCCTTGTAGATGGAAGGTGTTTGTGTCAAATAGAGTTGTTGAAATTCAGAGTCTTACCTCCCCATGCCACTGGTACCATTGTCCAGGTAAAGAAAATCCTGCTGATCTTGTGTCTAGAGGGGAGTTAGCCGAACCCCTTATTAATTCTACTTTATGGATAAATGGCCCTTCTTGGTTGTCTGAACCTTTAACTCTAAGTGATAAAGGAGAAACTGTAGAGTTACCTGTTGAAGAAAGTTGCAGTAAAGGAAATATTTCTTGTGTATCTGTAAACTCTCCTAAAATATTTGAGTTTGAGAGATGGAGTAACTTCAATAAGGCACGTTGTGTGGTGGCTTGGGTATGAGATTATTAATAATGTCCGACCTCATTCTGTGAAGATGTCAGGTCCCTTGTCTCCTGCTGAGTTAGCAGTGGCCAAGACCAAATTGTTCTACTGTGTACAGAGAGAGAATTTTGTTCAGGAATTGCAGACTTGAAAAAGGGTAAATCTCCTTCAAAGGGTTC